AAAAAAAAAAAAAAAAAAAGGTTGTAATAAAAGTTTGCTTGTATTTTCAGGTTGTGTAACATAATTACAAATTTTGTGGGTGGCCTGTCATTGTCCTGAAATTAATAAACTACCTCTGTGCGGGTCTTTTTTTTTTATATTATTTTGTGTCCTTTTCTCTTTCTTCTTTTCTTTGCTTTTTCCGCAATTCGGTGGGGGAAGATTGTTTGAATGCAATTGAGCATTCTAAGGCTTAAAAATGAGTGTGTTTTCTCGCGTGTGGGGTGTAGGGCTGTAAACAAGCCGAATCGAGCTCGAATAGAAGGTGTTTGAGCTCGAGCTCGAGCTCTTAACGAGCCGAGCCGAGTTCGGCTCGTTAAGTAAACGAGCCAAAAATCGAGCTCGAGCTCGGCTCGTTAAGGCCTCGAGCTCGAGCCTTAATGAGCCGAGCTCGAGCTTCAACTAGTCGAACTATAAAAAATTACACAAATTTCACTTTTCGAGCCTTAACGAGCCTTATCGAGCCGAGCTCGGCTCGTTAACCAAACGAGCTTTAAATGAGCTCAAGCTCGGCTCGTTAAGGCTTCGAACTCGAGCCGAACCGAGCCTTAACGAGTCGAGCCAAGCCAGACTCGTTTAATTTAACAGCACTAGTGGGAGTGTGTTTTTTCGCGGACAGGAGCGTGTTTTTCTGATTGTTGTTAGTGTGTTTTGTTCTAGTGTAAGTTTTAGGCGATTTTCGAATTTGTCCTCACTCTAGATTCGGCTCTGTAGTTGCTTCTTTCAGTTGTTGGGTTGTGTTCTAGATGTAAATATGTGTTTTTCTACAAAATCTTTATCGTTTGAAAAAAAAAATAGCTTAAAAATGAGAATAAATTTACTTTCATGTCATTTTTTTCTTTTGACATAACAGACATAATGAATGACATAATTTATGTATATAATTAATTTTAAAGTTGATATGATATAAAATTACAAAATGAATTTTGTACGTGTATTATGTCAAATTTTATATTACATGATTCTAAAAGTATGTTATGCTATCCATAGTTTGTTAACTCGTTTTTTTTTTTTCGTTGTCTAATTGTTAGATAGTTTCCATCAAATATGTATACTATCATTAATAAAATGTCGTCTCTT